GGCATTGTGGAGGGTATTTATTTCTATGTAGTGAGTGAGGTCTGTAAATCTTGTAACGTTGACCTTAAGGTTGGGCCAACACCACCTCCTCTTCTTTCTTTCTTGTGGGATATGTCCCACGGTTCTATGTTTAGTCTGACTTTATTTGTCAGTTGCAGGTTGGTCCACTCACTTTGCCACAAATGTATTTTTGCTTTTGTAAGAGACAAAACACCTGAGATCTGTACGAACTAACCCAGCTAATTTGTCGGCCTGTTCATTACCATGGATACCAGAGTGGCCTGGTACCCATATTAGCTTGATTGATTTGTTGGCAGCATGTAACTTACGAATGATATTACCCAGCAATTCATTTTTAGTGATTTCTAAGGATTTAATAGCTTTAAGTGAACTTCGTGAGAAAAAAATAACTATTCTATCGTGGGTCGGCAATAGTGCAAAATCAATGGCTTTATCAATAGCAAAAAGTTCAGCAATAAAAATCGATGTATGATTCGGCAGTCTGAACTTTAGTTCACATTCAGTCAACCATACACCCGCACCCACATGGGTTTCCCATGGCACTATATTTGACTGAACCAGAGTATCGATGGTAGAGAGATCTATACCGACTTTCTCGGTGAGGTCGTGGAGTCTTGTGGCAAAGGGCCTAATGCCTCCATTGCCATTAGGTTTGCACGGGTCTCGGGCCGCGAAGGGGAGGTACTCCTGGCACCACCTCAAGACGCTCGATCTGAGTACATTTTAGTTCTCCAACACACACATAAACAAGGATTCTGCACAACATCCAAACGAATGTGGTCTTTCCAATTGAGTCTACTATCAAAAAGTAGCCCAAGAATTTTAGCAGAATTTTGAATAGGTATTGGGTGGTGGTCTAGAGTTAGCCTGATGTTCGGCTTCCTCCTATGTGAAAAAAATACCCCAATACTCTTTCTAATGGAAAACTTAAAACTCCACTGGAGGCCCCAGTTATGAATCATATCCAGTGCCAATTGGATGCGATTTGCTGAGAATTCTGCATTATTGCTGGAGTGCCATAAAGCACAATCATCAGTGTACAGTGAGTATTTAAGATTCCGAGGAAGAGCTGGTTAGATGTTATTTATCATACATAGAAATAATGTTGGTGACAAGACACTTCCTTGTGGGACCCCGTTTGCCTGGACAAAAATGAAATGTCCGAAAAAAGTGACGTTGTCAGAAAATAATTTGACAGAGAAAGTTCTGTCAGAAATGAAATTTTCAATAAAACAAGGCAAGTTTCCACGTAATCCAAAAGCATAAAGTTTTCTGAGTAGGCCATATCGCAATGTCATGTCATAGGCTTTTTCTATATCTAAAATACATATATATATATATATATAAAAATTGGCAATGGCCTCTTGAATATGACTGTCCAGCTTTACTAGTTGGTCGAGAGTTTGGCGTCCCTTTCGGAAACCGCACTGCTCGTCAACTAGTAAATTACTGGAATTTAAAAAATGTAATAGCCTGCTCTTAACAATTCGTTCCATGACCTTGCATAAGCAACTTGTCAACGCAATTGGGGGTAGGAGATGGCAAGTTTGGGATTACCCCCTCCTTTCAATATGGGAATGATGTGGGCAAAGTGCCATGAGTTTGGAAAAGTGTGGCTTTTCCAAATTTCATAGTACCCTTCTAGCAATTTAATCATGTCATCATGATTAAGACGCTTTATCATCTCATATCGAATCTCATCGGGGCCTGGGGATGTTCCTCTACAGGCTTCTAGCGTCGGACAAGCTCATCTATTGTAAAATCTTTATTGTAATCAAAGTCATCTCCTGTGTCAAAGTGAATTTGTTGCAGCTCAGCCGCTTCCTTGATGGGCAGGAATGGGGGATGGTAGTTTGCTGAGCTGCTTGTATGAGAGAACTGCCTGGCGAGTGCATTAGCAATGTCTCTAGGTGAATCTAATTTGTTACCCTCGTCAATGATGTTCTTAATTTGAAAGATGTTTTTTTCTTATTGATTTTATTGATTGTGGACCAAACATCTGATATTTTTGAATTGCTATTAATTGTAGAGACGAAGCTCCGCCAGGAGTCTCATTTTGCTTGTCTTATTACTCTACGAGCCCTAGCTCTTGCTTATTTGTAATTGCAAAAGTTCTCATTTGTGATGTTATTTTTGAAAAGCCTGTAGGCCTTATTGCATCGGCACAGCCGCCTGCGGCAATCTGGTGTCCACCATGGAACTCTATGCTTAACGCTATCTGTCGAAGTTTTAGGAATCCATAGCAAAGCTGCTTCTATAATCGAATTCTGAATATTGTTTACTTTATCATCAATGGTTTCTCCAACGAGTTCGAGCTTGACGCTCCTTGTGAAGGCGACCCAGTCTGCTCTTTTTACGTTAAATTTAGGCTCTGGAGGTGTTCTCTCTGTGTCGCATGAATATTCAATCAAAATAGGAAGGTGATCGCTTCCCAACGAGTCGTCAATAATGTGCCACAGGCACTTGGCTGCTACTGATGACGAGACCTGTGATAGGTCAATAAAGCTCAAATTACCGGTATTATCGTCCACCCGCGTGGGACTACCATTGTTCAGTAGGACTAATTCAGACTCATTAATCAACTTAACTACATGCTCACCTCTACCATTCACCCACAGGGAATCCCATAATGTATGATCATTAAAATCACCTAAAATTACTTTATTTTGTGGTAGACGTTCTTGAAGACCAAAAAGCTCATCATAGATTATCACTGTATCAGGTAGACAATAAATTGAACATATAGCCAGATACGTGCCATTAATTTTTACTTTGCATGCGACAAACTCCAAAGTAGAATCAAAAGTCACTTCTGTAAAAGGGAGGTTTTGGTGGATGTACATGGCGAATCCGCCTACACCCCTACCCTCACGATCCTTCCGACACATGGTAGTTCCTCAGCGAAACCTGACACATGGTAGTTCCTCAGCGAAACGACCTCGTCAGAAACGAATTGTGTTAAATACGTTTCTTGGAGAACTATACTATCGGGAGCATAGGACGAGGCTAATAATTTAAGGTCATTTACTTTAGATCTAAGACTTCGACAGTTCCATTGTATAATGGTCAACGCGAAGATTACGTTTTATGGGGTTTGGAAGTGCATTGTCCACCAGTTCTAATTTTCTTTTTATAGGAGGGAGGCGCCTCCTCTCCCTCGCTTCCCGGGGACCTCTCACGGGATGGTTTGGAGACAGAAGTCTCCATGTCCTCCACCTCCTGGCGAGGGAGACGACTGACAGATTGCGATCTGCTTCTCTCTCGAGAAACCGATCGCGAGCCAGACGAAGTCCTCACAGGAGTAACCTGGACGGGAAGGTGCGCTCTGAGCTGTGATTCGGTATCATCCTCCTTTTGATGTTTATGCTGGGTTGATGCAGCCATTTGATCGACCAATTTAGTCATTGATAGACTTTAGTATTCAATTCTTTCACAGTTTGAGTTCGGCAATCTCTTTATCTCTAGTTGCAAGCTGTTGACTGACATCATTTGCACTAGGGGTGCTGTTAGTTAGTGCTGCAGCATAGGAAGTATCAGGGTTGTGTGTCAAATTTTCAACGTTCCTCTTAGCTTCAGTATAACTAACTTCATGTTTCCTCATATGTGCTAATGTCTCAGTCTCCTTCTTCAGAGACTGCA